TTCAACAGGCCTCTGAAATGCTCTGCCTTAGGTAGTCTCGGGGGGGTTAGGCGCTGTGGAGGGCCATGCAGAGGGCCCTGCGGGAGGACCTCTACCAGGGGGCCCTCTATGGGGGGCCCTTCCGACGGGGCCGATGGCGGTTGGCCTGCCCACATCAGGGGCTTCGTCTTGCTGGCTTCAGGGGCTTCGTTCCGTTGGCTGGCCGGGTAACGGGGCCAAGGCTCTTAGTGGCTTGGCGGTTGAAAATTTTGGACGCGGTAGACGCGGTCGGCACCCGCGGGTACCCTCCTAACCGTAGCACTCACTGCGGCCGCGCCACTGGTCGCGCACCGTTGCAAGCGGTATTGTTAGATAGGGTTTTTCGAGGGCTTTCGAATGCTGTCGGTTTCGTCGGTTTTGGCCCACTTTTCGTGAGGCGATCTCCTATAGATTATAATTCAAGGATAAAATTTGTCTGTCGCGCATACAACTGAGTGCAAATAACTATATATTAACGTGGTATATAACTAACTATCATTATTTTGTGAGTTCTACTCCTCGCCCTGTAGACCCACTTCTTTAAATGCAGGGTGGATTTCCGTACAGAATATTACATCGTGCACTACCGGAAAATTCACTCTTCGCCTCTATCTCCATCAAGGTAAACAGCAATTCCCCACGTCCAAATAAATATAACATCATTTTTTTTCTTGCAAGTCGCTTTCGCCGGCTTCGGTGAATCCAGATCAAGCGCTCCAGCGGGATTTCTCTTTCCGCTCGCTAAGATGGTAGACTGTGAAGTCTCGAATGCGATTCCTCGTGCGACGGCTCCCGGCCTTCCCGTTCTCCCTCATCAACTCTATGAGACTCTCGATACTCTCATACAGGACCTGAATGCCTGGGGCCATTCCAACGGCCTTGCCTTTTTCAAGCAACGTCCTTCGAACTATAAGGATGGCAAACCAACCCGATATGAGATTGCTTGCGACCGTGGAGGCAAGATACATCATACGTGCCTCACAGTCTACGGTTCGTCGATCCAGCACATCGAAGACAGGGTGCGAATGGTCTGGTGTTGCGAAGGCGTTGAAGGAAAATGGGCCGCAAGTGGTCATTTGATTCTGGAGGCGGCCACGAGACCCTTTATTTGGATGGATGGATGGGAATTTATTTCGCCCGGAGGCACTGGGCCTATAGGGCCTTAGCACGCTAGCTACATCCGGATCAGATCGTTTTGCGTTTAACTCGTACAAGCCCCCTACTTCTTCCCTCTTTCTCGCTGCACCATTTACCTCTTGCCTTGGTTGTTGTTAGCAGATCAGCTTGGAGGCTACTTTCTCCAAGTGTTCAGCGTCCTATCTTCAGCAGCTAAAGCGGGACCTGCTGGTTAAGGCTCGTGGTTGAGGCTCGTGGTGTTGAGTGTCGGCTTC